CCGAACATCGCTATGTGAAATTCCCCCATTGGAAACATCACTAAACGGAGCGCAAGATTGCTCCTAAAACCTCATCGCTAAGCGAATACATCGTTAAATGAGGCAATTGCTAAGCGAGGCGCCACTGTACATGATAATAAAGGCATAAGCTTATTATGCTGGAGGTCTTCCCACTTGGGTCGTGTAAATACATCCCTGTTTGCTTTGAACCTTGCACGTCTAACAGGAGAGGAGCTCAGTCCTGCTGACAGAACTTGCTTTGCACGTAGAAGGCTCCAGGATAAAGCCTATTGTGTGCAGTTTATAGGGATCCTGAATTGCCAGTGATGGGAAAAACCTTTCTTTGCTGGAGAGCCACTACCAGGTGAACAGAAAAGGGGTCGGAGGGACTAAGGGTCTTACAATGCAGTCTGATAGCTATGTATTTAGATGCCCTTTCCATTGAATTCAGCAAGGTTTGCTCCAAGGTAGCCAGTTTAGTGAGTTGGGTCTCTCAGTGAGTTGGGTCCTTGGCTGTGGAGCTGACAGTCAGGAGTTTGATTCCCCATTATCCCCCCTCCCCAAGAGTAGAGCCAGCCTGTGTAGCCTTGGACAAGCTGCGCAATACGAAGATGTCCCTAAAAGAAGGGAATGGTAAACCACACCTGCGAAATTGATGCCTCGTGAACCTTGGAAAGGATCTTTGTAAATCGAAATTGAGTTGACACCACTCAGTTATTACTCCAGATAACTGTGTATAGGATTGCATCTTCAGGATGTTCTGCTGAGGCACTACACCTTTAAGTTCATTTTTTTTCTCACCTATGTTACTTCTGCAGTAGATGAGATAATTTGCCTAAGTCCAGGACCATAACACCATGTGGTCTTTGAAGTGAAGTTCCAAATATAGAAACTTCCAACTTATGCTCTCAGATTCTTCTTACGGCATTTAAATAGCTATTAAGAGATAGCCACTTACGTTTTCTTCTTGCTGAAGGTCAAGTTGTCTGCCTAGAAAAAAACACTATGCTCTCTGTTAGATTTCCAGCTATTCTTTCTTCCTCAAATTCATGCAGCACTCTTGTGCCTGAGTTTAAAATCCAAGTTTTATTTCCCTAATCACTATTAACTTCGTAGTTCTCATCACATTTTAATGAACTTCAAAGGAATCTTATATAATTATGGTTTTAATCTCTTTTTGGCCAATGAGCAGCATCCATTTTCAATAATCTAAAAGCTGCTGTGTTGTTAATTATTTGACTTTCTAAAGATCAATGGAGCTAATTATACCAACTCTCTAGGTGGCATGAAAATATTCACCAACATACCCTTGACCTGCATGTTGCTTTTGGTGAAACTGAACAGGGGTATTTCCTGCTTTTGCAGCCATAAATTATTCTTACAAATTGTAGTGAAATCATCTGTTGAGGTGGTTTTCATTAAGACGGCATTGCACTGTTCATCAGATAGCACTTGCAACTAACGTTCTGGCTAAAATACACTTATAAAAATGGTTATATTAACAGGTATTAAGACTGCCTATACGTGCGCATCTTCGGCAGTCCTCTTGCTTTTTAAAACTTGCTTGGGTTGGCAACTCGACCCATGAAAAGTAAGCAACTGGTGCGGTGCTCGTAGATAAGAAAAAGAAAAGGTCGATCAACCACAAAACGAATTTGTGCCGAAAGGGGCATGAAGCCTACGGTGGTCACAGAGGCAGCCTCGGTCCCTTCTTCGTTCACGGTAATAGTTCCTTGGTGGCTGAACTGAAAAAGGAGGAAAAACATGACAGAAAATCAGCAGGCGGAAGGAGCAGAAATAGGACATCTTAGGTGTCTTTCTGAACTGAACAGAGCCCTGTTAACATCCAGTCTTGCCTAATCTTAGATGCTAAATAGAGTCAGGGCGGTTAGTCCATGGATGGCAGGCTGCTACAGGGTTTCAGGAAGGGTGTGGAAAGTATCCTGCTTGACACTCATGGAAAACTGTGCCGGTTGGAACTGAAGTGCATGGCTAGATGGATTTAGTGGATGGACTCATTGTAACCCTACTTCTGGTCTTCTGATGATTAGGCTAACCATTTTCAACTTCGACCAACAGTATGATGATGCTAGTGTTGCCACTACTGTGTAAAGCTTCGTTGAAATATACAGTATTAAAAAGAACCTATACAATTTTTATATTGCTAGGTAAAGGTAAAGGTTCCCCTTGACATGTATTTGCGAAGGCTTTCACAGCTGGGATCTAATGGTTGTTGTGGGTTTTTTGGGCTCTTTGGCCGTGTTCTGAAGGTTGTTCTTCCTAAGGTTTCACCAGTCTCTGTGGCCGGCATCTTCAGATGGTCAGAATCCTACATCTTTCCAAAGATTTGGAAGGAACATGGCCAAAGAGCCAGAAAAACCCAATGGATGGACTCATTGTAACCTGCTTCCGGTGTTCTGATGATCGGACCAACCACTTTCAATTTCCGCCAACAGCATGGTGATGTTAGTGTTGCCACTAGAGTGTAAAACTTTGTTGAAATATACAATATTAAAAAGAACCTATACAATTTTTATATTGCTAGGTAAAGGTAAAGGTTCCCCTTGACATGTATTTGCGAAGGCTTTCACAGCTGGGATCTAATGGTTGTTGTGGGTTTTTTGGGCTCTTTGGCCGTGTTCTGAAGGTTGTTCTTCCTAAGGTTTCACCAGTCTCTGTGGCCGGCATCTTCAGATGGTCAGAATCCTACATCTTTCCAAAGATTTGGAAGGAACATGGCCAAAGAGCCAGAAAAACCCACAACAACCGTTCCCCTTGACAATTTGTCCAGTCGTGTTCGACTCTAGGGAACGGTGCTCATCCCCATTTCCAACCCATAGAGCCAGCGTTTTGTCCGAAGGCAATCTTCTGTGGTCACGTGGCCAGCGCGACTAGACACGGAACGCCGTTATTGATAAATACCATTAATCATTACATTTCTGAGCAGTCATTCAAACTTTCTAAAAATGACCAGCCTTCTTAAATTAATCCTCCAAAAGTAAGACATTGAAATAACCATTACGTCTTGCTAAATGCTAATCATTGGCACTTAATGATTCAATAACAGATTTGTTGATCTTTTTGACAAATGACTCTTAGACTAAATGTTCAGCTGAAGCTATGCTTTTACCCCATCCATTTCCTGTGTCTTTCCCCCTCAAGGCTGCCACTGACCTATTTTTCTACTTTTCCCAACAAGGGCGTTGTAGGATTCTGACCAGATGTAGCTGGGTTTCATATTACCCAGAGCTTAATTACCTTATCAATGACGATACTCTCATCTGATATCCCGGAATAGTTGCCATTCTGAGTGAACAGCTCGTTTACTCCCAGTGATCTCAGATATTGAATCAAGTCATATTTCTTCTCCAGCTTAAACTTAGGTAGTATGACTTCTCTTGTTCTAGGGAGGATAAAATAACAGCATAGACTTCAGTGGATTCAAAGGAAGACGAGAGAACTCAAACCAGTTTTTATCAATGGTAACGTTGACTGTGATTGTTGAGAATGATGGCAATTGTAGTCTGACATGTTTGGAGTATACCAGCTTGGGTAAAACTGGAGAATTACCGTATTTTTCTGTGTATAAGACTATACTTTTGTCTAAAATCTTTAGACTAAAAATTGAGGGCTGTCTTATACACAGAAGTAAGTTGAGAGAAAACAAGGGGGGGGGGAAGCAGGAATCAAAGCTTTGATCCCTTTCCCCCTGCACTTGCTAAGCCCCACTTAGATTTCTTAATTTTGGATTAGAAAAGGGGGCGTCTTATACACGGAAAAATACAGGTATATTGAGTTTATAGTAAGATGTGGCAGGAATGTCTTGTAAAGTGTAAACATTTTCTTTGCATTTTTTAATATTCCTGGCCTTGTTGAAGGCTGGACTATTTAGCCTGCTAATTAGTATGATTGCACAGGTGGTCATATCAACCTTTTTCTGATGTTTTGTTCAACACATTAAAAAAATTATCATTTGAATTTTAAAAATTAAGACACTTATTTTAAGGACCCTGCTTCTAAGCTATTTAGGACTATATAATACCCAGCCTTTGTGTAGAATCTGAAAACTAGGGAAAAAAGAAAAGGAGTTCTAAGCATTTTGAGAAATAAAGTATAGTTAGAACTTTGGTAACTGAACTTTTGAAACAGCCAGGCAGTTTCAAAAGGCAAGCTCTTCACAGAAAACATTCTGGCAATCTAGCCTTGATGTAACTAAGGCATAATCTTTCCCAGAAACAGGCAGAGTTGGCACACAAGTCTAACCTAGGGAAAGCATTCTTGGTCAATGCTTCACTTGGGAATCTAGGTGTTAATGTGGCTCCAGGATCATTCCTAAAATGCACCCTTTGTTTTTCAACAAGAGAGTGACGTTGTATCCCTAATGCTAGAGCAGTAGATTTACCGTTTCCCTGAAAAAAAGACCTAACCTGAGCAAGAGAGTGACGTTGTATCCCTATAATGCTAGAGCAGTAGATTTACTGTTTCCCTGAAAATAAGACCTAACCTGAAAATAAGCCCTAGTATGATTTTTCAGGATGCTCATAATATAAGCCGTACCCCCAAAATAAGCCCCAATTAAGTGAAACTCCGCCCTCCACCATGGTGCAGCAAATAGAAGATGACATGACTATATTTAAATAAATGTAGATTGTTGTATGTGAAAAAAAATCCCAAACTAAGCCCTAATGCGTTTTTTTGGAGCAAAAATTAATATAAGACCCTGTCTTATTTTCGGGGAAACACGGTATTTAGCAATCTTCTTTGTCTAGATTAAGCTTCAACTTTTTAAAAAAAGTTCGTTGTTATTCTTGGGCACTGAGTCAACTCTATAGTTTTTTGGTATTGAGATAAGAAGATAGTTGATATCAGTGGAACATCGCAGACATGAAAGATTTCTGAGTGATCTCTTTCAGCATTTTCATGCTGGGGCGAAATTGCATGGGGATCAATGAACCAGACCTGTCAAGCATTCCCTCCAGGAAGAAAAAGGGGGATTAAGCTTTTGATCTCTTGGGCTGGATGAGGATCTGGAGGTCCTTCCAAGTTCCCCAGTTTGTAAACATCTCTCTGTATGTTCTGCTTCCTAACTATGGGGCCCAAAGATTTCTTCCCCTTCATCCTTTCTTTTTTTAAAAATAGAGTTACACCGCAGTCTCACAATGTGCTGTGTGACTAGTTCAACAAATACAGAATAATTGGATTTCCAGTTTTGCAGCCAGAAATTCTCCGTATATATTTTGCCCAGGCAGTTTGTGAATGTGAGTCGAAAAGACACTGAAATCTATAAGCAATGGGTTACCTGTTAGTCATGCTTTGCTGCCACCTCTCCACCACCTGGGGAGTCAGTTGTTTCTCCAGTAGCTTCATGCCCCCCAGCTTGTATGGCAAGACAATCAGCATGCTGATGTTTCCCACGTAGGGCAGCTGCAGCACGCCGCAGTCCAGCTCATTATCCACGGTGGCCAGAAAGTTGGCTTTGGTTTGCATCATGGGGACTTTCACAACCTCTTTTTCGTTCAGACGGAAATTGCGTTTTTGGGTCATTTCCACTGGAAATTTATTTTCCCAGGTTCCTGTTAACAGAGTGAACAAATTTACGGCATTCCTCTTTCCTCCCAGTATAATTGACATTCTGAAACAATCACATCAAAGCTGCAGCCCTTTTTGGAACTCCATAAGGGACAGTGACGTCTTGAAATTTCCATTTATAAAGATGGCACTGTCTTTCCTCATAGCATGACAGAAAGAGCTTAGTTTGTACCATATTTTTCCATGTATAAGACTATGCTTTTATCTAAAATCTTTAGACTAAAACTTGAGGGTCGTCTTATACACGGAAGTAAGCTGAGGAGAGAACAAAAACAAGTGGAGGGGAAAGTAGGGATCAAAGCGATCCTTTCCCCTTACATTTGCAAAGCCCCACTTATTTTTCTTAATTTTGGATTAGAAAAGTGGGGGGCGTCTTATACACAGAAAGATACGGTATTTGTCTAAAGCAAAATCTGGATCTGCAGGTGATATTGGACATTTGGTTCCTAGAATCCCTGAACAAAGGCCCTGCTGGTTGAAGGGCCCAAGAACTGAATTTCAGCAACATGGGAGGTCTAGAGCATGGATAGGGAGGTGCCAAAGGTTCTGGGTCTCCAGGATTGCACCTGACCTTTCCAACAGACTAGGACCATGGTGAGCTATACTTTCCCCTTTTTCATGACCAGAGATACCCCCCTAAAAAAAAGATTATTGTGGTCCTACAATTGCCATGCCCCCCCAATTCTTAGTGAGGAACAGAGTACAACCCAGAGTCCCCCCCATCGGGGTAAAAATGTTATGAGATAGAGCTGATTGAAGCCAAACTAAAGTCAAATTAGTATTGCTCAATGGTTAGAAATGTGTGTTGCTTCAATCTGCAGTCCTGCCTGGCTGAAGTTAAGAATCCATAAGTCCACTTATTGGGGGTGGGGTGGCGTGGATTTATTTCTGGCACTTTGTGCTTCTCAGCCGAATAAAAACTTGTAGTTCCGAAGGAAGGTTATGTGGGAGGGCATCTGCAGAATGCTTGGGCTTCTTTAAAGAGCCGGGGTGTGATATCTAATCAACAGCTTCCTCGGCTATAACTTTAAAACCACACCTCCAATACAGCCGGTGCCTTTCCTAACTTGCATCTAAGAAACAAGCCTGGTACATCCATCTACCACAAACTTTTGGGACTCTAAATCAGCCATTCTCAATGTCTTTCTGGAAATGGCAATAAATACCATATGAAAAAAGCGTAGGGCAAATCAGCCTTGTGTAAGTCATAGAATGTACCTTATAAGAGGGACTGTGAAGAATTGTTTCTAGTCTGCGGCTCCCTTCAAATGTGCCAACCTCCCCCGGGGCCATATGACCCCTGTTGAGAATGGCAGTTTTGAATGTCATGTGACCTGAGGCTTTTGGGGGGGCACCATTGTCCATTTGGGGCACAGATATTAGGGTTGTTGTTGGAACATCTCACTTGTGGTCCAAAGCCTCAGAAAACTAATGAGCGCTTGGTTTGGCAGTGATCATATCAATGGCATTTGCGCAAAGTGGAGTTGTATCATGCTTAGCAGTTTTGCTTGGCCGATGCTAAAAGGCTTCACGTTTTCAGTAGCTGAACCTAAATAGGTTGTCTAATCTTTTTGCAAAGGGAAGATGATGGAGAATAGGGCAGGCTGGGTAGCATAGGAACATTGGATTTATGGAATTCAGTTCCTCCTAGTTATAATGTCAATATATAGCCTCAGGGTCAAAGTCAAGGGTTCATTGGAGTGAGGATAGGGGTAACCTTTTTTGGTCTGCATATTTATAGGAAATGAATTTAGTTAAATTGCCCCTCCTGGAGCAATATGCAGCTCAGAACACTGTTATCTTTAGGAGTACACAAATCTCTAAATTTTGTCATTCCATTATTGGCATATCTCAGTTAAATCTGAGAGTTGTCCTACACAGCTTTTGGGGGATAGTATGTGGATGTTGGATGACTATATCATAGTTGTTGTTTTTGACCTTGTTAAAATGGTTTTTAAATTTACCTTTAAAGTACAGACAGTTGAGAATCATCATCACGGTGGTAGGGTGTACGTGCACAAGTGCTTCCTTTATTAATCCTTTGGTGATCTTCAAAATACGCTGATTGGCTTTAGCAATGAAGTTTGGGTCCGAAAAGTCAGCTGTCTGAGCCTCTGCAAAATAGTAGTTTTTCATGTTGTTCTTGAAGTCACTCAGGACAGGAAATTGTTTCTGAATATAAAGGTCATTGACTGACCTGAGCGTGTAGCCAAAATTTCTCCTGAAGAGCCGGTGGGTGAGTTTGTGGAAGAGGTTGTGAATGGTCATTGTGTCATACTTAGAGCTGGCATTAATAAATTCTATAAAACCCAGAGAATCCATTACTTCCTCCCGTGTTTGACCTCTCAGTCCCATTGAAATCATAGCCATGGCTGTAGAAATGCCAACCGGAGCCAGAAGGATGTTCTCCGTGGAATTGGCTTTGTCCTTCAGACTCCGGTAAAGGTTGAAAGCAAAGTTTGCATTGAAGATGTTGAGACGCTGGATTCGGGTTTTGCCGTGGAAAAGTTCCAAAATATTCCCCTGTTTGAAGTCAGAAACAGTCTCTGGAACGGCATCAATGATATCAAAGTAATCGTCATCTTCATTTAATATTTTCTCAAAGTCCAGATAATCCTCCTCCTCCTCTTCTTCAGCACTCAAGATGTTGGTCACTGTATTCTCTTTATGGAACTCGGGTGAGAGATTAAGAGTCCCGTTACTGTGAAGCCCACGAGGATCGTGTGACTGAGCTACACGAAGTTGTTCAAAATGCACCTGGAAATCTTTTATTCCACATGTTGCAAACATTACAGCGATGGAGAAGACAGCGAAGCACAGCAACTCCTTCATCTTGACGAGCCGGAAACTGGAAGTGCAAAGCATCATAATTAGGGAGCAGATTTGGAATTAGCCTTTTAAAGGGGTAGACAATGCTTGGGAGGATGTGTCCCTTTCAGTGTTAAAAAGGGATGTTGCTATGCGTGCTCACTTAGTAGGAAGTCCTATTAAACACTGCTAGGTCTGACATAGGTACAGATGTGCGATAAGCAACCTTCTCTGCTGAACTTTCTGGACCGAGTCATCAACTAGTATGGTGTAGGGTTCAGAGTGATGGACTAGGGTTGGGAAGAACCTGTTTCAAAGCTCTGCTCGGACAAAGGTGAGAGGACAGTCCTTGTCTCTTATCATGGTCTGTCCTACAGGGACTTGAGAGAGTAAAATGTAGGGAAGAGAGTGACTGAACTCAGCTCCAGTGGCCTTCAGATGGTTAGGCTCAAAGTTTAATGAATAGTCTCAATAGAACAGTAGGGCTGTAGTTGAATTTCTAGAAGCAGAACATCTGTAGCTGTATGAATCAAATGCCTTCCATCGGTTCTTATTAACCAAATTATTATGGATACTATTCCTGTTTTGTTTTAATATTCACTTCACATATCTGATAAAGCACCGTACTGTATCGAAAACCCACTGACTGATATGCATACTGGCATGTCTCCAGTTTCTATCCTGGGCACACCAGAAAAGCTATTGTCTGCAGCCAAGCCCTCACATCTGCTTGGACCCACAAGAGAGAGACTTCAGACTCAAGGATCTGCGAAAGGCATTTTTCAGACTACTATATCCAACCAATGTAGTTAAAAAGCAAACTCGGCAAGATGAATACCCAGATGCAATTTTTGGCAACAGAGAACATGACGAAACAGCGTTTGTTGTCACTTTTAGCTCACAACTGAGACCACTCGCTTGCATCATAAGCCATCTTGAAACCATTCTTGACTAAAATACTGCACTCTCCCAAGCCCTTGGTGGCAGACGTGCACTTGCTTGCACACAACCCCCCCAATCTCAAACAACTATTGACACAAACGGACTACACCACACTGAAAGAGAGAGAGGCCCCAACAATGTCACACAGAACATGAGGAGCACGTTTACTTGTTCCTCTGCTAATGTGATCGATGCCAAGATGCCTTTCTGCACTCTACTTAGGAAAACAGGGCAGTCTCTGTGCAAAAGAATTAAACGACATCATTCTGACCCCAGCAATGGCGACACACAAAAACCTATTTCAGAACCTTACAATCTGCCTGAACCCAGTTTGGATGACGTGAAAGTCAGATGCCCTTCTGCACTCTACTTAGGAAAACAGGGCAGTCTCTGTGCAGAAGAATGAATGGACATCATTCTGACCCCAGCAATGGCGACACACAAAAACCTATTTCAGAACCTTACAATCTGCCTGAACCCAGTTTGGATGACGTGAAAGTCGTGGTTTTGGAGAGAGAAAAATCCCTGCAAAGTGACGCTTGAAAAAGTAAACACCTGACATAAAAGTATATACAGATGCTGGAGGCACACTTAAAAGAACTGAACTTAAATAGGTTCTTAATCTATTGGCAAGTGTGAACTCCTCCATTGATTTCCACATTTTGCCTCTTACGTAAACTAGGCAATTCTTACCTTGTAGACTGGTGATTGACATTATTCATAGTCTGATAGCCTACTCTGTTACTAATTGTCTCTTAGTCCATTATCTGTATTCCCACTTGATCAAGGGATCATGTATAAATTATGACAGTCATATAGTCTCACTCTTCTGTCCGAGGAAGTAAACTTTATGCATAAACAATCACAATAGAATATAGCAGGTAATCTTTAAGTGTTTTTGTTTTTTGTTTTTTGTTTTTGTTTTTTAGAATGTAGCAGGTAATCTTTAAGTGGTTTTTTTTTTGTTTTTTGTTTTGCTTATACAGACTAATACAGCTACTTCTTTGAAAACTACAAAGTAAATGGGTTAGTTTTTAAGGTATCATTAGAATCTTGGCTCTTCATGCTAAAATTGAAGCTTTTGTCAATGCATAAATAGAATGCAGGTACTTTTGTTACATTGGTGTTTTTTAGTTTGGCAGTCATGAAACTTGGGATTTTTCCTTCCCTCTGCAAACATCTTGGAGCGCAAGTTCCATCAGCCCATCCTATAGGATCGGGAATGATGGGAGTTGTATTTTGCTTAGAGCAGAGTCAGTCTTGTGCCTCTCTAGAGCCAGTTCAAATGGTTCATCGTTAATTTTAGATTGTAACATCCAGAGCCTAAATTACATAAATAGCGAAAATACAAATTCTCAGTAAAACCCAATACTATGCAAATCAGCCTTAAAAATAATTTTCAAATCTTGCATTATCCTCACTCACGCAGTACAAGCCCATTCCACCCCTGGCAGTGGTTTTAGTATTATGGGTTCCCATAATACTTATGGACAGGGTTTTTATTTTTATTTTATTTTATTTTGCTTCTCTGTTGTCATCAAAACCTTGCAGGTGTATTTTGTCTTCTCACAGGATTCATACTGTTTGCTGTGTTTAAGGTTTCCTGCTGTTTTTTATGGTAGCCACCAAATCCATCCCCCTGCCCAGTCCAGAAATACTGATTTAAATCTATAATCTGTTTCCAAAAGAGAGAAAGATTCCTTACCTCTTGTATTGCCAAAGAGAAAGCTTGCAAGAGCACCCTCCAGTAAGGTAAATGGAAATGTGAACTTCGGTGTATGGGTATGTCCTAAAGTAAATAGGCTGTAAATCAATCACTCCTAAGTTTATCTTGTCAGCTACAGTCCCTTTAGTTTGCTCTGTCTTTCAGTTGATTTTCTGCTTGCTCCTATGGTTATATATTTTAAAAAATACATATTTAGTTTTTATATTAAGGCAAGGGTGTTTGCCACTGAGGAAATGTTCACACTTGTAGCATGCACAGAAGCTCTTAATCATCCGGCACAGAAATGAAGAATGGGTGACCTTCAGATGCTGATGGAATGTGAACTTCCATCGTCCCTCATCATTGGCTGTGCTGTTTTAGGGCTGAAGGCAGTTGCAAGCCAGGATCACCTAGAGGGCTGATCCAGCACGATCCGCCGTTTTAAGTGCACCCTTACATTTTCGTGCGAGAAGTTGTTTTTGTCATTTTGCATTGAGACTCAGCAGAGATAAACTGTAAGATCAAGGCCTCTTGTGTGGTCAGCAAACGTTTAGAATGGACTTTCCACATCCCTGTTGATCCCCAGGCATATTGATTGCATCACCTTAACTCTTTCTTGAAAATGCCCCTCCAAGAAATGTTTTTCTCCTCACTGGGAAAAAAAGTGCCTATGAGAGAGTCCCGTCTCTCCTCTTGACCTTTTCATTTTTCCAAATTGCTCTAAATTGGATGCAGTTGTATATTAGACATATGGCATATTGTCTCGTCGTATATGTGCGATATCTTTTGATGGCACTTCCTGTGGTCTGCATTTTTTTAACCTGTGGAGAGAAGGGCTTTCAACACTGAAAAGTTGGTGGAATTTGAACCTATTGAATTTACAGTCGTGATCCCGAGCTGAATAAGGTTGAATTGGTTAAGGTTTGCCTGCTTTCTCTGTAACATTTGAATGTAAGTATGTATTAAAGCACTTCGAAGTCATATTAGTTGATGTAGTAGGTATACATTTGGAAGCCTGCTATCATCCTCAAAGCGACCCAAGGAGGTTGGCTGCTACCTCTGCTGTTGTGATTAGTCCCGTGTTGCATACAAGGCAGATGATCAGCCCGAAACATTAACTTGCCCAAGACCGTACAGAAAAAAGTGTACCTCCTCCTTGGCTTGCTCACAGCGAATGACTGATACAAATTAATTTGGTATGGTGTTTATTAGTTTAATGTATGGGAGGCCAGATTTAGAAGTCCTAAGATATCGAAGTGTTGTTCTATTTCTGCTGTCTCGTAGACACTTATTTCTCCTGTTGTTTTGTCCTGTTTTGCTTGCCAGCTCACAAGACGCTTGCCCCCCATCAAGGAAGCTAAACCAAGGCTACAGAAACTCTTCCGAGACTTCTGGCTGTATTCGGTCCTCATGGGATTTGCTGTGGAAGGCTCAGGTAGTCCAGAGACTCTGTCTTATTAGGGAAAGAACTTCTCAGGGGAGTGGCAAGGAAGTACGGCAAGTAGTTGCCCGGTGCCACTTTGGCATCTGGCTACTGAAGCATTGCCCTGAGTTTGTTTGCTGGAGCGTGCTTTCAAAGATGAAGATCTGATTCCTCTCCGATAGCTCAGTTACAGGAATGTGCCTCTGGCTCGCACAAACAGTTCTTCTCTTGCGCAACTGTGAGGAAGAGACAGGAAGCAGTTGCTTCTGATTTTAATCAAACCAATTTTCTTTTTTATATATATTCTTTGCTCCATAATTTGCGGTAGAATAAACCTGATGACTGTTCAGGTGCTACTAGAATCTGTCATTGTACACTGAATAATATAATTCATTCCTCATTCCATCTTGATCATACAGATCTAGATCAATGAATTAGGAGTATCCAAAGAATAAACTGATTTTTTAAAAACCAGGGACAGCCGTCAAAGTCCTAAGCAACAGCAATGAAAAATGTAACAATCCTGAGAGCTGAACCAGCATAATCTGTAAAACCATAAATAGGGGATGAAGGAATTTAGAAGTGTAAGCCTTGCTTATGTAGCACCGAACTGTAATTACATGTAAACCAAATCTTAATCTTTCTGATCTGGTTTTGTTTTTTAAAAAAGTACATTCCAAATGAGTCTAATTTTGTTCCTTTTACCCTTTAAAAATCCCACATCATTTTTTACAGTGCCATATCAGTAATTGGAGTTCCATCCTAGCTGGAAGTAAACCGATGAACTGATTTGGAATTTATCCTATTTTACAAGGGTGGAGTTGGGAATAAAATTGTCTTCCTGCCTCGAGCAGGGGGTTGGACTGGACTGTCTTCCTGCTTCGAGCAGGGGGTTGGACTGGATGGCCTTGCAGACCCCTTTCAACTTCCCCTTTTCTAGGATTCTCTGAAAATATATTGGTAACACATTCAAAAATGCGATCTGAACGTGAAATCTGCATGGTCGGTAAAAGTTCTGGCCGTTGGGAAAGCCAACGAGGCGCCTTCTAGACCTGTGGCCCAGAAATAAAATCCACTCTTATTTTTCTCCTTTGTCTCTCCTGATATCCTTTCAGGTCTTTGGCCAGAAGAATGGTATGAGGGTGTTTGTGAGATAGCGACCAAGTCGCCCTTGCTGACCTTTCCTAGCAAAGAACCGCTTCGCTCTGTTCTTCAGTACAACTCGGCCATGAAGAATGACACGGTCACTTCTGTAAGTTTGCCTTTTCTCTTGGGCTACTTCTGAGACCTTCGCTAGCTCATCGAATGTACTTCATAAATGCGGTTAAAGCAGGCATGATCATGAGATAATCTGTATCAATCTAGTTTTCACTCCAGTCATGACCTGAATACGGTCTTATTCAAGTGGATGCATATGGGTAAGGATAGGGGACAGTGCTAAGTAGTGGTTAGGATGCTGGCCTAGAACTTGGGGGAACCTGGGTTCAAATCCCTACTCAGCCAATAAATTTATCAAGTGACCTTGAGCCCATCATCTTCTCAATCTGAGCCATGGCACAAGATTGTTGTAAGGATTCAGTGAGCGAGAGGAGGAGATAAATACATAGCCTTGAATTTAGTGCCAGAACCATAGGGAATGAATGTCACAAATAAAAACAATAAGTAATGAGAGGCACAGATGAGTTTCAGGAGTGAATCGGCAGGATGAAAGGGGTACATAAGCCTTCTTCTGCATACCAGCTGCCCTTTGGGGACAATAGTTTTCAGTGGAGGACCAGTAAGCACGGAAAGCCAATAAACTTCAAGAGGGGAAATCTGTGGTTGTCCAGATGTTTTTGGAATGCAACCTGCATTAGCCCTAGATGGCATAGTAGGTGGTGTTGGGGGTTGCAGTCACAACAACCTCTAGTGTGCCAGATGTTCCTCCATTCCTAGAGGAAGCGCTGCTGTCTTACCTGAACATCAAGAAAGCGCTAACCCCCAACACAGGCATTACAAAGCAAACAGAAGCTTAAGAGTCCCATATTATTAAGCCTCCTAATGGAGCTCTTCCCCAAGTATTTCTGAAAAGAAAATGAGAAACACCAAAAGGCTTCCTTGTTATTGCCCTGCCTCCCGCATTTGATACTTGCCTGTCAGAATCTCCAAAGGGGAGGGTATGTTATTTCTATCTCTCCATGGAGTTGCAGAAATCGTCCGTATTAATCCTGACTTTTCATTTCATCTCCATGTCATGAGCTACAGCTGGCCGATTCCTCTTCTTCTTCTCTGGCTCTTGGAGCAGTTGGCCAGTGACGGCGTATTACTTTTCATAATGGGGTGGGAAGATAACATTCAGAGGGGTAAAGCTGATATTATAGCATTCCAACAGAATTTGTTTTGGCAAACATCAGCCTCCCTTGTGATGCATTGTGTTGAGCTATGTCAGCATTCTTGCGCCTCACTTGCATAGAAGGCAAACATAGGGTGTTTGTTTTCCACCAGGAATGCACTCCAAAATATTTGAGCACCTTCTCCTTTGTCACAGAAGAGTTGTGTGTTTCTTGTGTTTCCCTCGTACAGAGTACAGAATCAATTGCGTGTCACAGAAGAGTTGTGTGTTTCTTGCATTTAGTTCCCTCGTACAGAGTACAGAATCAATTGCATATCAAAAGTGTTCTGCAGGTTAGAAGTTGTAACCTTGTCCACGTTTACCCACGTTCCCAACAGCCTTTTCGAGACATAGACGTGGTTTTGTTGCCTATTTGGAATAACTGTCAATACCGAAGTTGGTTGTTTTTATTCTGGCTTCAGGCTGAATTGAACGAGTTACGGAGCACCATCATCAATCTTTTGGATCCTCCCCCAGAAGTATCGGCCTTGATCAATAAGCTAGACTTTGCCATGTCTACCTACTTGCTCTCTGTGTACCGTCTAGAATGCATGAGGTAAATGTTTAAATCCTGCTCACGGGTTGACAGCGCTTAGCTTCTGGCCTTTAATGCCTTTTGGATTTATCCTGCAAATAAGCTAGGAGAAAGCTCTGAATCAGCACGTTGTAAGGTTGCACAGGATTTTAGACTAGGAGAGAAACTTTTCTCAGCCTTGAAGTCCCGATTCATTCAAGAGATGTTCTTAGGGTGTGCATTCCAGTGGTAAATTGAGGACCCAGCTTGAGGGGACGGTGTGTAGCCTGTAGAATTAAATGGTAATCTGCTCCGAGCATGTACTTTGGAGGCCCCTGCAAATGTGTTAGGAAGTTTAGAAAAGGCCGATGGGCTTTTGTAGGGCTCTGCACTGATGCTTCTCCGCCCATTGAAGCGCTGCCCCAGCATCTTAAATGACATATAAAATCCAAAAATAATGATAATAAAAAAGCTAATAAGATAAACTTTTTGCTATAAAAACCTCTCCAGTTTAAAAAACAGTGTTTTAATCTTAAAGCACTTATTGCTGCTATCTGGGCTTATTGGAATGGGAAGAAGTGTCTGTCGGAGCTGAGGAACCGGGCGTGATGATATCCTGCAGAAGAGGGCATGGCCCTCTGAGACTCAGGGTTCCTCGCCCACTTTAGGCCACCATTGCCCACAGACGCTGACAGGCCTCTATCGGTTTATGAAATTCTATTAAAGGTCTCTTCCTCCCCCAGATCCCAAGGCTTCCAAAATCTTTCCCAGGTCGGAAGGGATCTCTAGGGAGCCTCGAGAGCAATAGGAAGCTTTAAATAAAGAGTATTGTCCATGGCTGATGACATCATCAGCCTTTATGCATGCAAAGCGGTGCAAAAGGACTCCCAGCCATTGCGAGAGACAAAGCAGAGGCAGTTCCTTTACTTTGGTGCTGCTCATAGAAGTTGTGGGATAGAGGGAAATGTGATCAATTAATTATTTTTAAGGAGCTTGTTTTGTTTGTTTGTTTGTTTGTTTAACCTGTATGCCACCCACACTACCCAAAGGTCTCTGGGCGGCTTACAACATTTAAAAAACAATTAAAAGGCAAAATAAAAGGGCAAAATAATTGAAATGCAATTAAAATATGCTGTCAAGTTGCTTTTGGCTTACAAAGTCCCTTCGAATGAGGGGCTTCGGGAAAAAAATCCAGCATTGATAGTCCCGTGCAAGTCTTGCAAACTTAAGGCTGTGACTTTCCCTCACTCTTGGTCTTCCTCTTTCAGAAACTTGGTCTGCCTATATCTAAATACCTTTACTGATTCTAATTCCCCCAGGGTATTGCGTTCAACAGACCCAGATCGTTTCCAAGTGATGTTTTGCTACTTTGAGGATAAAGCAATTCAGAAAGATAAATCAGGTAAGAAACCATGGGCTCCATTTCCCGTGAGGTGTCAGGCATAGATTTGCTTCAAGACAAAATAAATGAACTTTAACTGTCATTGCTTCCGTGTGTTTTGCATAATTTTCAGATGAGAGCTGAAAATTATGCAAAACACACGGCCTGTGTGTGGCCTGCAGCCCCCATCATCTGTCACTGTTGGCCGTACTGAATAGCGCTGAGGGAGTTAGTAATCCAGCAGCAGCATTTGGGCAGAAAGTGATGCACTTGAAACAGCGACTGGAGGTAGAACAAAGCAGGGACAGGAGGCTCTCTCTGGTCGTAGAGGCTGCTGTTCTCCAGACAGAAGTCTAGAGATCAAAAGCATATTTGAGACTTGCTGGATAGCTCAGTGGTTTAGATCTCTGGCTGTGGAGCCAGAGGTTGGGAGTTTGATTCCCCACTGGGCCTCCCTAATAGGGGGTGGACTCGATGATCTTCGGGGTCCCTTCCAGCTCTGCAGGTCTAAGACTATTATTATTGTTGTTGTTAATATTAATCAAAAACACCAGGCAGAGTCAAAGTTATAATAAGCATTGACTGGTATTATACAACAGATACAAGTTTTAACCAAAAACTTAAGTGTCTGTTAAATATCAGGATTCCCCACTGGGCCTCCCTAATAGGGGCTGCACTCGATGATCCATAGGGTCCCTTCCAGCTCTACAGGTCTAAGACTATTATTATTGTTGTTAATATTAATATTAATCAAAAACACCAGGCAGAATCAAAGTATTATATAACAGATACAAGTTTTAACCAAAAACTTAAGTATCTGTTAAATATCGGCGCTGTATATATGCTGTTCCTAACACTGTCGTGTTTTTGTAGCTCTGATGGCGTTGATTTCTGAGATCTGGAACTGCTTATAGTACTGTGTGAAATTTCCTGATATTTTTCCCAAAGCCCCGATGACTGTGGGGACCACTGAAGTGTGTTTCTTCCAGAGGCGAGTTGTTTCAGTGGCCAGGTCTCTGTACTTGGTTCGTTTTTCCAGTTCTTTATTTTCATCTCTGGCATCGCAATGTCAGTGATCCAGACCTTTCTTCGTTCTATTACTCCTATGACTGGTGTGTTGTGTTCAAGGTGTCTATTCGTTTGGATCCAGAAATCCCACAAAATCTTGACTTCCTCATTTTCTGACACGTTCTCTACCTGATGTTCCCATGCGGTTTTTGAAGGTTGGCAGGTTCTATTTTTTTGCAAAATGACCAGTGCACTAATTTTGCCACTCAATCATGTCTCACTTTGTAATCTGTTTGTGCCATCTTTGGACATTGGCAGATGAGGTGTGGCACAGTTTCATTTTTTTCTTGGCAGAGTCGACATTTGCTGTTAGCACTGATTCCTTGGATCTTAGCTTCCATCATGTTGGTTTGGGGTGCTTGTTCTTGTGCAGGAAAGATGATGATGAGGATTATACTTGATACACCTATGAGTGCAATTGGTTCCATTCAACCAGAAGGCCTTCATAGTTTATTTATTCATTTATTTATTCTATTTATACCCTGCCTATCTGGTCAAACGACCACTCTAGGCGGCTTCCAGACAAGTAAAATGTAATAACATATACATATAACAAAAATAAAAATATACAGAAACATTAAGCAATAAACATTAAACAATAAACATGAACGATAAAGAATAAACAATAGGCAAATTTTTCAAGATGGCAAAGATAACAAAGAATAGAGCAGAAACATTAAGCAATAAACATTCAACAATAAACATGAATGATAAAGAATAAACAATAGGCAAGTTCTTCAAGATTGCAAATATAACAAAGAATAGATAAAGAGAAAAATATTAGATGTTGTCTGGAGGGAAGGCCTGCTTAAACATCCACGTTTTTAGATGGGTCTTAAAAATACCCAGCGACGGGGCCTCACAAATCTCTGGAGGCAAGTTGTTCCAGAGGTGAGGGGCCATCGCCGAGAAGGCCCGATTTCTTGTTTTTTTTCCTTTCGGGCCTCCCTTGGCGTCAGGCCCCTCAGCCTCACCTCCTGACTCGATCGAGTGATCCAGGTAGTTCTTAATGGGAGTAAGCGTTCCGTCAAATATCGAGGCCCTCAACCGTTTAGGGCTTTATACGTAAGCATCAACACTTTGACGTCAACCTGAACTATGAAGACATATGTTTACATCCATGGAGATCCAAACGAGGCAGGCTGTGTTAAAATACAGTGTTTCCTTTTCCTTTCGGCAGATCCTCTGGACACAAGGAGACATTTAAGGGGACAGAATTCTTAAATGTTGTTTCCTGAATGGCCAGACATTTCTTTCTTTCAGGGATGATGCAGTGTGTAATAGCTGTTGCAGACAAGGTCTTTGAAGCTTTCCTCAATATGATGGCTGACAAGGTAAGGTTATTGGAGGGTAAGAACAAAAGACTGCGTACGGCCGGCTCTTCCTTTTCACGTTCGTTGACGTTGAAACAGACTAACGTGGCTGCTTCTTTGAAAAGGTCCTCTGGAAACACGACTGAATGTAGAGCTCGCAGGCCCAACCTCTTCCCCTACTCAACTCCTGTCTGTGTAGCAGGAATGTTGGCCAAGCCTTTGGGTCTGATTCCCTATGAAATACAAGTTTTTTTATTCATTCATTCATTCATTCATTCATTCATTCATTCATTCATTCATTCATTCATTCATTCATTCATTCATTCATTCATTTAACTTATATGCCGCCCACACCTACTCAACTCCTGGCTGTGCAGCAGGAATGTTGGCCAAGCCTTTGGGTCTGATTCCCTATGAAATACAAGTTTTTTTTTCCCCCCAGAAAAAAAGGGGAGAAGATGGGCAGGCTCCGCGTTGCGAGTTGAGTCCGAATCATTGGAACGAAAAGCGAACAAACTGAGTTTGTTTTTCTTTCCAAGCCACCAGTGCGGCTTAAAAGTCCGACTGGGGAGCGAGTCCCACAAGCCGAGACCCCACGGCTACTTTCCAGTCCGGCTTGGGTGTCTTTGCTCTGACACCCGGAAGCAGCCTTTCTGTAGGAGACCTTTTTAGAAATGGTGGGCGGTCTTGCTCCTGCTCCATGACCCATCCTTTCCACCTCTTTCTAGGAACCTTCAGAACAGCCCCTAAGTTGCATTTCGAATGGTGAGAAGCTGTCAGTTCAGGAATTTTTCTTAAGTATTTTGAAACGTGTGTAACAAAACAATATATCCTGGAATAGGGTGACGCCAAGCTGTGTGGTCCGATGCTCCCTGCCACCGACCCCCATGGGCTGGCCCTATCTTCGCTGTCCTTCTGCAAGTCTTTCTCTTCAGACTGGCTTTAAGGATGACTGAGAGGGATTTTTAAATAGAAGATTTAAATGGATCAGGGCCTAGTTATTCTCATCCCACTCGCCTTGTTCCTCTGAATCCGTTTTTGGTGTTGATTTTGCTGACCCTTTTTAGTGTGCTATTTGTTTGATTCTTTTTAAATACTTGTATACTCATTGTTTGTAGCTTTTAAATATTGCCTCTTCATGATGCAAAGTCTCCTTGGGTCCCTTTTAAAGGCGGGGTGGAAATATTTTAAAGAAAACGATGAATAGTAAAGTAAGGGCGACAACTGAAGCATAGTGAGGAGGGGGGAGGGAACACATGGGCAGGAGGATCAACCATGTCATGGCAAACTATGGTGCTCTTACCTCCATCACAGCCTTGTAAATAAGACCCCGAAGGTTACAGAGTCTTACTGGCTTCCTAGGGTTGGCAGAACAAGGACCGAGGGCTCCATCCATCCTTTATTGTGCTCAGCACAAAGATGCAGAGGACGGCTGGAGCGCTCCTCTGTTTCCCTTCCTTGGACTGCCTCCTTGGTTTTAACGCTAAGAGACACGGAGGGATGGAGCGTATATCTTTTCTGCCAGCCCACTTTCCTGCATGTAGCGCCTTGTCATCTATGGCTACCAGGCCAGTCCTTTAAAGAAAAGCCTGAATTATGTCACCTTATTATATTCCCCTTTATAGATGGCTGGAAAGCACTGACATTTTACTAAGATGAATGCAGGGGCTGTTTGGGTGAATAATTTGTGCCACAAAGCAGCAATGACTGTCCTAAGGGGTGGCAGAACCTTTCCAAGGCTCAAATTTAGCAGTGGGATTGTCAAGAATTCAATTGGTAATTGGCAGAAATAATTGTAGTGAGTGATGATTAAAGTATGCCCTTCGGGCTGAACTTTATAAACGTTTGCATTGTAAATTCCTTGGATCAGGGACTTCCCCCCCCTCCTCACACTCTCCTAGGTGCATTATGTAGCTCAGGGGTGTCCAACCTTTCACCTTCCCTGGGCCACATTAGAAGATAAAAATTTGGTTTGGGCCGCACGTACATTTGGTTTGGGCCGCATGGGGGGGCATTGGCAGAAATAATTGTAGCGAGTGATGATTTAAGTATGGCCTTCGGGCTGAACTTTATAAACGTTTGCATTGTAAACTCCTTGGATCAGGGACTTTTCCCCCCTCCTCACACTCTCCTAGGTGCGTTATGTAGACGTTGCAACTCCGTGCATATAAACATAATTTAACAGTCCGATTCTTTGTATGGTTACTGAAAAGGCAGCGTACATTTGGTTTGGGCCGCATGGGGGGGCAGCCCTAGCCGTCCTCCGCAGCCCTGGTCCAAGCGCGCTTACTGGCAGCTGCAATCTCAGACAGCAGAGGCTGCCAGCTTCGACTCCGGCGGCTTTCTGGGGCTGGGAGGGGGTCCTCCTATTGACAGCGACGGCACAATGCAGTCATGCAGCCCCCCTGTCCCCTCCGCTCCCACTCCTTCCTTCCCTCTCTCCCCCTCTACTTTTGTGACATGCCCTGGCCACATTCTGGCCGCAAGCTTCAGCAGTGTAACTTGAAACTCTGGAATTTCTTTAAAAATAAAAAATTGCACTGGGCTGCATTACGAGCTGATCTGGGCCGCATGCAGCCCTCGGGCCGCAGGTTGGACAAGCCTGATGTAGATGTTGCGACTCCGTGCATATAAACATAATTTAACAGTCCGATTCTTTGTATGGTTACTGAAAAGGCAGCTGGACCGGGACTTGCTCCAAATGAATGCCCATAGGATTGCAACGTGAAGTAAAGGTTTCTCAGCTTTTTAAAAAGCAAGCAGCCAATGATTATCTTTGTTGTGTTTAGGCTAAAACTAAAGAGAATGAAGAGGAGCTGGAGAGGCACGCTCAATTCTTGCTGGTCAACTTTAACCACATTCATAAGAGAATCAGGCGGGTGGCAGATAAATATTTATCTGGCCTCGTAGACAAGTGAGTATGTGATCTTGCTCTTCATGGGAGCCCCCATAGACATGAATGGCGTTGGCCTTTTGTTATATATCCTGATTAACGTCTTTGTCATTGTTGTATGTATCGATCACTAATTACGCTAAAATATTTATTTATCTGGTTGCAAAAGAATAGCTAGATCTCCTCTGGTCATCTTGGATTACCCGCACAGTCAATGTAACTTTAAATGGAAAAGAAGATTTTAAATAGAGAACTGCTTGTAAATTTAATAAGAATGGCTGTTTCAGAGATGCCGTCGTTTCTAAAATTAATCGGTTTTGTTTGTTTTCAGATTTCCTCATTTGCTGTGGAGTGGAACGGTGCTCAAGACCATGTTAGATATTCTGCAGACATTGTCCCTATCTCTGAGTGCAGTAAGTATTTCTCTATTAATCCCGGTTTGCTAAATTATCCCAAAGCACATTTACTGTATATAGTTCTTGCTAAAGGTCTTGCCCATGAGGTCTTGGCATGCTCAGTGTTTTTGGTACTTCTGTAAAGCTTTGGGTTCTCCCAAATGAGTGCGGTAAGTATTTCTCTATTAATCCCGGTTTGCTAAATTATCCCAAAGCACATTTACTGTATATAGTTCTTGCTAAAGGTCTTGCCCATGAGGTCTTGGTATGCTCAGTGTTTTTGGTACTTCTGTAAAGCTTTGGGTTCTCCCAAACATACTTTCCTGTTTTCAAAATCACTGTGTGTGTGGGGTGGAGGTGTTTTGGGGTTTTTATTTTATTTTATTTTGGGTTGTGGTTGCAGTCCTGTGAGCGGGTTCGCTTCCTGCCACGGGCGGTCCCCCTGTAGGCGCAGCAATAAACGTCAGAGGCTGATCATTTATTTGAACATTAGTCTTTTTATTTAACAAACTTTCACGTTCAACAGCTTTGAACGGGTCCATCAAGCTTAACTCTGGTAAAACTTTATAACTTTTAACTCTTAACTCGGGCGTTGTCCACGCGCTTCTTACATCGGGGCTGGCCCAAACCTCTCGCGATCCGTCATCAGCCTCAGCAGTATGGTGCGGACCGCACATATAGTCCCACAACAAGGGTGTCTCGCCCAGTCTCCCTCAGGAGGTTGTTGTTGTACCAAATAAGGGCTGGGACGAATCACCCTCCGGCCCCCCAGGGTGGTTGCGGGGGTACACGACCGCCGTCCATTCCAGCGCCTTTACGAACCCCTCTCCAGCTCCTTTATCTACTGGATCCGGCAACATCCCAGCCTCCCTCGGGAGGTTGTTGTTGTACCAAATAAGGGCTGGGACGAATCACCCTCCGGCCCCCCAGGGTGGTTGCGGGGGTACACGACCGCCGTCCATTCCAGCGCCTTTACGAACCCCTCTCCAGCTCCTTTATCTACTGGATCCGGCAACAACCCCCCTCCGGTGTGCAGGTTAGGGAACTCTTTTATCAGCCCGGTCACAACCTCGTGTTCTGTCATAGGTTCTGTTTGCACTGCCTTCTCCACCTTTTCTCCGGGCAACTTTGTCGTTATCTGAAAAGCCCACACGTTTTCCCCCTCCATTTAATATCTCCTCCCACGTGATTAGATCTCGCTCCTCCCCTTCTTCATCTGCCAGGCAAACCTCTAACGCCCGTCTCTCGGCATGCCTCTCTGTCTCTATCTCCACTAACACTCCCTCCACACAGCCTCGGTCTTCTTCGGGCTCCGACACCTGGGAGGACAGCACACTAGCTGTCTCCTGCTCACAAGTCCTGTCACCACTTCCTACCTGCAGAGCATCGAAATATTCTCCCTTTTTTAAAAATACAAAAGCTGTTTGGGGATTATGGAGATTGTCCAGTGAAGTCACTTTTCTTAATTTAATAGCTGAGTTGGTTGTTCAGGAAAACAGTATTATGATAATTGGTGGCCCAAGATGCTGTAGATATTCAGTTGCTGGGGTTTCTAAATACAGAAGGACTGCGGTATCTGTGGGGGAATCAATTCCAAGCCTGCCCACCCCACCCCCATGGATGCCAAAAAATGCAGAAGTATTGAGCACTATATGTTGCCTGGTCTCTGAGGCCCTCTAGTGGCCAGTTGTGGTAAATATATGGTGGAAACACATAGCTATTGGGGGTTACAATGGTGCCTCGCAAGACGATTTTAATTCGTTCTGCAAAAATCTCTGTCTTGCAAAAAAAATCGTCTTTCGAGTTGCAAGACAAATGAAATTTATTCATCTTGTGAACCATCGGTCTCGGGGGGGGGGAAGTCTTGCAAAACACGGCCATAGAAAAAACTGTCTTGCGAGGCACCATAGGGCTCGCAAAAAACAATCGTCGTGTGGGGTTTTCATCCCGCGAGGCAATCGTCTTGCGAGGCACCACTGTATTTGGTATTTTCAGATAGCAGATAAGTGAATCAGCTGATACTGATCCCATGGATAGGGGGGCCCTACTGTATGTAAGAAATAAATTTACTCAGTAACTTGCTTTCTTTTTTAGGATATTCACAAGGACCAACCGTACTATGACATTCCAGATGCTCCATACAGAATTACTGTTCCTGATACATATGAAGCAAGGGAGGTAAATGTTCCGAATTACTTAAACTGTTTTTTCAAAAGAAAAAAAATACATTTTATTGTGATTTTTTTTCTGAGTATGTTCATTCTTATTTTTATGCATGTTTATAGCTAGAAAAGTGCCTGTCTGCTTTTTCTCTCTGCGTCGTTTGGAATTGCAGAGATGTATTTATAGAAATGCAAGGACTTTCGGCTTCCAGATCATCTCTTAATGATTTTGTTGGCTGCCAGGGTTTAGAAGCAGAGACCAGTTGCATGGAGAGGGGGGCAGGATAATAGAGCTTCCCTTCCCTTCACCTAAATAGTATGTTTGACCATATCCATTACAACCCCCACAAAGAAATAATGTCTGAACATGTCTTAAGTATTGGGCCTTGAGCTTTGTAATTGATATTCCACATAAATTCCACATAAACTGAAATTCTAGGAATCACCTTCACAATCCGGGCCCTATACCCACGGACCTTCATACATATATGTCCAGTCTGGCCAATGTTCACTTTATTACACTTTTCCTCATAAACAGAAGAACTGATTCTGCTCTCTGTGTTCTGTGTCTCCTCTTCTAGAGTATCGTAAAGGATTTTGCTGCACGCTGCGGCATGATTCTCCAAGAAGCCATGAAATGGGCTCCGACCGTCACCAAATCTCACTTGCAGGTAACTTCTACAAGTGATTGTGAATCTTGCAGGATCTGGAGTGGATTGCAAATTTGGCTTTGAATTAAAAAGCCAAAGAAGAAGGAATTAGGGCTCCAGAAAGTGGGGAGCACATGGCAGCAGTTTAATTTGTCAGGCAAAGAATGATCTGCCCTGGAAATCCCCTGTCGCTGACATGTGTTTCTCTTCCCCTTCCCTACTTATGTTTAAGGAATACTTGAACAAGCATCAGAACTGGGTGTCCGGCCTGTCTCAGCACACGGGGCTGGCCATGGCCACGGAGAGCATTCTTCACTTTGCCGGCTACAACAGGCAGAACACGACGCTGGGGGTGAGCGGGGAACCGTGGCCTCCTTGGCTAGAAAGGGCTGGAATTGCCACGTGGGCTTTGTTCCTTCTTGTGACCCCTTTGTGCTCTTTGGTCAGAAGCAATGCAATCAATTTTCATTGAGTTGTGCCAATGATGAGAACCCTTCCCGTTTATGGGACACTTTCGAGTACAGTGGTGCCTCGCATAACGAGTGCACCATTTAACGAAGAATCCGCATACCGATGCGGATTTCCCCATCGCTAATGTGAGGGCATCCTCGCATTGCGATGGGGGAACAGCTGTTTAACGGTTCCAAAATGGCCGCAGGAACACTAAAAATGGCCGCTGGGACACCCAAAATGGCCGCCGTAACACGAAAAATGGCCGCCGGGACACCCAAAATGGCCACCGCAACATGGGGAAACATCGGAGACCGGTGAGTTTTGGGCCCATTTGGTTTCCCCGTCCCACTTAATGATGTTTCCCCATAGTGAAGGTTAATCCGGAACGGATTAACCTCGCTATGCGGGGCACCACTGTATTCCAATCGCTGCGGCCTGTAGCCATGGAGGGCTGGGGACTCTCTTGCTTCAAATCATAGGTGGATGGACTCCCAGCCTTTCTCACTGTGATGGGAGATCCAGTCCAATCACATGGCACACCTGTTTTTTAAAAGGATTAGTCAGATTCATGGAGGAAGTGGTGGCAAGTTCCGGATTGGCTTGTGGGCTTCCGAGTGGCCTCCAGTTGGCCATCTAGCGCAACAAAGAATTCTGGACAATGTAGTACTTTAGCCACAGCTGTTCTTGCATTTCTGGGCTGCACCTCTATTAGAGATTGGCTAACTTTGACCATTGAGATATTTTGGACCTTGACTTCCGCCGGTCTCAGCGTGGCCAGTGGGCAGGGATTATGGAAATCACAGAGGTTAAACTCTTCAGATGTCTTGACATCTGGAGCGTAGAACCTCTGCATGATCCTGTTGTAATCTCTTCGGCTCCCTCTATTAAAGGTTTTTGTGGTTCTCCACAAACTGCCGAAGAGGCTGCCTGCCGTGAGTTAAAGGCAATGTTCAAACCGGGAACCTACTCATTCTTGGCTCATTGTCAGTTTCTGCTGGTTTGGGTGGACAGGGAACCAGTGAGGGAGAAGAATGGAACAGGATATGTTTGCCTCTTTCATTTTTCCAACGTTGGCCACTTCGTCCGGACACTTCAGAAACCCCTGCATATGCCACCGATTTGATCATAACTGTGCCTTGTTTGTAGGCCACCCAGTTAACTGAAAGGCCTGCCTGTGTCAAGAAGGACTACTCTAACTTCATGGCTTCTCTGAACCTGCGCAATCGCTACGCTGGAGAGGCAAGTACGACCGCTTTGAGTTCCACAGTGACCCCAAAGAAACGAAATGCTCTCCTTTGCTGTGCGAGGCTGTTTCTAGAGCTGGGACTCGAGTTCTCTCCAGCTGTGCCCTGGCCCCCGTCTCTTTTATTCTGGCGTGACAAATCCCCAAGATCTTGTAGTCACCCCTGAGCACTCAGAGAGGCTTGAGAGGAGCAGCAAGACCTCTTGCCGCCTTGCACATCCCTCTGAGGTGGACTGCTCTGTTTCCCTTTGGAGCCTTGAGGTGGTCTGGGGGCTCCAAGCAGGGCCCTTCCATGCCCGCACCCTGTCTTTGGCTCTGCAACCTCCAGGGGTGTGATGGGGCCGGAGGAAATCGCATTGCGCTCATAGACGCCCGCTCTGATCTGTGCCCAAAAGGGGACTTTGGCACCGTTTCAAACGACGCAGGAAATGATGGGAGGCCGTGGCCCACCTCGTGACACCCAGGAACCGCCATGTTTCTTGTTGTGCACTTGGGGGAAAAAACAGTGTAACTCTTCTAGTGGTGTGTTTCCCCCACTGACATTGGCCAAAATCGAACTGAAAAATTACATTGGTGTTAAATCCTTTGGTATAAATTTCCCCGGACAGTTGTGACTAGCTAAGGAGTTGGGTTTTTTTTTTTAAATTTCTTGTGGCATGCCATCTTTCATGACTGGTGTGCAACAAGAAATATAACCACCGACTCTTTAGCTAGCGGTGCTGAAACGTACACTAGGATTTAATGCTAGATTCTGGCCCCACTGTGTTGGACGTAGGCCATATTCATTTAGATAGCATTTCTTTCAAAGGTTCATGTCATGTTTATTAGGGAGAGAAAGCTCAGAGTGTATAATCAATAGCATGCAGCAAATTCCCACACTTTACAGCCTAATGGATTGATTCCCCAACCATAAGGTGAGCAATCATAGTTCAAGCCGTGCTTTTCCATTGCAATCAGTGGAAAAGCCCTCAATCCGGGGCCCTCAATGTTTGCTCTTCTCACTCCCTCTTCCACCCTCTCTCTTCTCTGTTCTACCTTCTGATATATTGATTGCTCCTTCTCTCCCTTTCCGTTACCTCTGTCCTCCTCTGTAATCATTCCACTTCCTGATGCCAGGTGATAAAACGGATGATAGCCGGGTAGCACTAGGTAACACTGGAGTGGTCGTAAAAGTGTGGAGAGGTGGAGACACAGAGCATGCCATTGTTGGCTTCTCTCTGCTGTATGTGAAATCTAGACAAGGTCTCACAAAATGTGGCATCTGTATTGTAGAGAGTTTACAAAATGTCTTAGTGCTGGCAAACACTGGCTTTATTTTATTTTATTTTTATAGCATTTACTTACCATTTAAAATAATAAAACACTTAAGAGATTTTCTGACTCACTTAACCATTATTAGCCACTCAATAATTTTAAAATGACCACATGACTATTCCATTATGTATATGTGATTTTTAAAGACTCTTGTGGGTCCTGTTAATCAAGAGAAGTCTTTTTTAACAGGTAGCCGGGATGATTCACTATTGCAGCGCCACAGGCCGTTCGTGGGATCTTAATAAGCTAATGATCAAACAGTTGAATGATGCTCTGGAAGCAGGCCAGCCGGAACACTACACTCAAGCCATGTTTAAGCTGACAGCCTTGTTAATAAGTAGCAGAGGTAACAGCTTTCTCTGTGTGTATGTTTGTGTCTT